GAGGCCCTTGGCTTAATTAGGTATTGCTCATTTTTAGGGATTAATGAATTTGCAATTATTGCAGTGGTCTTACGTTCTAAAGTATTAGTTGGATCTCGTTTAATTTTAATGTAGGTACTTTCCTCTAGTAAATTTCTAATTTTATTATCATAATCGGCTCGTGACATCACTACAGTAGTGCGGCCTTTATCAGCTGCTAGGATTTGGATATCGTTATTTACACGCAGCTCTCTTAAGGCTTTTGCCTCGTTAGAGCTAATATTTACTTTTGGAACTTTGCTATTCTCAATTATTTTAGCAACCTCATGTCTAGTCATCTCTGCCTCATTATGTGGAAGGAGTCTAACTGCTGATTCTACCTCAGCAATTATCTCATCCACTGGAATTGTGCTTGGGGTAACGGCAAAGTTAAGGCCTTTAGAAAGGATAGGGACCATGTCACCGGTTAATACAGTGCTGGTCAAGTTCAGTACAGTTTTGTTTTTACATTTTTGGTTTTTAGTAGGGATTTGTTTATTTTGTAGTCTAGAAAATTTATTAATTTGGTTAGTTTTTGTTAGTTTAAACACATTATCAGCCGATTGTTGTGTTATGTTATCGATTATATTCCAATAATGCATAGATACACTATTGCTTATATCTAAGTGTAACTGCTTTAGCGATTCTGAAATGTAAGATAATTCACTCCTATTGTGCTGTATTCTCTCTATTAATAATAATTCGCTAGCTTTGTGTAGTATTTGGTTAGCTTTAGAAGACTTTATGTGATGTGTTATTTTAACTGCGTTTGGTATTACCTTTGAATCTCTGCACCTTTTGAGGAACGCCAGTGAAGATATCAATTTCATCCGCTTAATGCGAAGCTTCTCCAATTTTCTGGTTTTAAGAAAAGTATCCTCCCCATAGAGGTTAGTCAGTTTAACACGTAGGCTTTCGCGACCAATATTATTCATAATAAAGGTTTTTGGGTTAGATCGCGTTTATTTATAAATGTGTCGTAACCCTCCACCACCCGACACGGCCAATCAGCAAAAAAAAGTGTCACGTTGACAAAAGACAAATAATTCACCACTTCAGCCCACCGGTGTGTTGAAGAGCTAATCCACATTTACAATTTGAGTACGACGTTTCGCTGGTAAATACTTCCAGCATCATCGGGCAATTCGCCAGAATGATAAAGCCCTCGCTTGCTCCCGGTTTTATATAGAACAGCAGGGTGACGTCATCACTTAACTCATCAGGTGCAGTGATTAGAGGCGGAGGGGGGGGTAATGTAATTATATAATCGATTAGTAATCAGTCATTGGTTATGATTAGTAATGAGTTGTAGATTAGTAATTCTTTAAATCAAAATGTAACGTGTATTATTTAATAATACGCTTCCAGGCCGCACTAAGCCGGTAGCTGTCAGAGCGATTAAAGTTATTCTTGTTCCTCTCAATTTCAATGGATTCTCTAATTAGTCTTTGCCAGTAATAATTAGTTTTACACACCACTGCAACATTGTCAAAATCAATTGAGTGTCCTTGTTGACAAGCATGTTCTGCCACTGCCGACAGTTGTGTTAATATACATTACCCCCCCCTCCGCCTCTAATCACTGCACCTGATGAGTTAAGTGATGACGTCACCCTGCTGTTCTATATAAAACCGGGAGCAAGCGAGGGCTTTATCATTCTGGCGAATTGCCCGATGATGCTGGAAGTATTTACCAGCGAAACGTCGTACTCAAATTGTAAATGTGGATTAGCTCTTCAACACACCGGTGGGCTGAAGTGGTGAATTATTTGTCTTTTGTCAACGTGACACTTTTTTTTTTGCTGATTGGCCGTGTCGGGTGGTGGAGGGTTACGACACATTTATAAATAAACGCGATCTAACCCAAAAACCTTTATTATGACTACCAAGGCTACTGCAGTAGCTGGATCTGGCCGAAGCAGCCAACCACATCTTCAGCTGTTTGGTGGGGCTGTGCCGAAGCTGCAGCAGAAACGGGGAGAAGGGAACGATATCGCAACAAGTCCAGCCGCTACCCCATTCACCAATGCACATCCACAGTGCTGGATTACAGGTGTATGTAGCCACCACCACCTGCTATATGTCAGTATGTGCGTGCCTGTGTATATGTTTATACATATGTCTTTGTACAAATGTATGCCTGCATTTGCATGTACTTGTGTTTTTTATATGTTTGTATAAATGTGTGTTTATATAATTAAGTGTGTGATATTGATCTTAGTTGAATAATGCTGGCCAGGCCACTCATAGAACATAATGGTTGGCGTCGCTCGGTATGTGGGGGATCGTTATCTTTGTGTATACGTGGTGATTGCTACGTTATTCATGGGCCTTACGTGTTAATATAGTTTAATAATATTATTTGCTACTACCACTACCAGACATTATCACGAGTCTAACCTACCACCATTGTAAAATAATCAACTCCAGCTATTGTCTATCATAATCATCAAAGAAAACCTATGATCATTACTATCACAGCTACTGTTCTCACCACCAACACCACCACCACCATGTGCTGGCGAGTACTTGTGAGGGTCCCATCCTGCTGTGGCGGGTGGATTGACCTAACGGCCGGAGATCGAGACACTCCAAGACGCGTTTGGGACGGTGGGCCAGAGGCTCGCAGAGTTCAGGAGTAGTGGTCTCGTTCAGTTGCAGCGGACGGTGAGACCTGGCTAGCAGGAGGCAGCGATTCTCCTTGCATATCTGCCAGCGGGAAGGGCCCCGGACTCGTACCGCTCTGGTTGCTAATGGTATTGGATGTATAGGGGAACTAGTCCTGCAGATCCTATTCGGGGATATGGAAATTGCGGGGGTTCAGGTGAATGGAATATTGCTGAGGTTAGCGGAATGCGACGGGTTTGTGCTGAATGCTAGGATGAGAGTGAGGACACATGCTGGACAGCATGGTAAGCCGAGTTGTGGCAGTAACCCTAAGTTTTTCAGAGAGCATGTTGTGGAGTGCGACGCCATGTCGCCAGCATATTGGCCGTGGAAATTCGCCCCTGAGGGGGCTGGATGGGGTCTGGCCTCAGGAAGGGACAAACCTTCCTTGTCTGTAAAGCGTCAGACTGTGTGATGTGTTGGGGTGTGTGAAGGGATAGTATGGGATAGAGCATGGCTGAGTCGTTGCGATGTGTCATTGTCTCTTCCCCGAAATTTGCACTGGCCGAGTAAATGGTCGGTGGAGGTCGTGAAGTTGGACGACTGCGGTGCGGGCAAAGGCGAGTGACATGTTGCCGCTGGAGAGCATTGCTCTCTCCACGCGGGGGTGTGCAGCCTGGGGCTGTGTTGAGAGTGGCAGTGTGTAGATACTGTGTACATGAGATGTCTGTGGTGGTCCTCAAGGGAGGACTACTGATGGGCAAGCGCGGGAAACCGCGAAGATGTGGTTCGCGCATGCGGCCGCCATTTTGGGCGAGTGTGGGAGGCCACGGTGATGCGCTTTGCGTGTGCGGCCGCCATTTCAGGGCAAGAGCAGGTAGATTTTTTTTGTCACGTGTATTTTAAATGTATATTTAAATGTAGATACTGGGGCCACCCTGAAGTGCGACTGCTTTGCCCAGTACATGGGTCAACCTTGAAGCATGACTTCCTTGACCCGGGATGTGGTAAAACGTCCAAAATTGTACCTTAAGTTGCAGCATACTGGCTCGACCTTGAAGCGTGACTTCCTTGAGCCAGTACATGGGTCGGCTCTGAAGTGCGACTTCTCGACCCAGGATGTAGAAGGATGTCCAGCATGTTAAGTGGTATGTGTCGGTGGGTGTTAGACATTCGGTCTTCGCCCTATTGCCACCTGAGGGGTGGAACGGTAGCAGGGCGGTGTGAGACCCTGCCATCCATGTGGTGTTGGTGTGTGATTTTGGTTCAATTATCGGTGTTGGTTGTGCATCCAATGCGTCAGAATCTGTGTATTTTGTTTTTGTTCCTCCCGCAGGGTGGAATACCATCATCTCCACTATCCTGGGGCCGGGTGGCTGTTGTGTCCGACGAGTTGAGGCGCGCGTTCGTAGTGCTGTGCCTCAGGAGGTTTGAGTTCTTTTTCTCGTCACAGGGTTCCAGCACCTGCCATCCTCGTGTGCTTTATCCAGGCAAGGTTGGGCTTCCATGTGGCCTCAGGCCGCATCTCCTGCACGGGCCTCTCTCGCCCTCCCGCAGCCCAGCGTCACGTTCTCCGAGCGCAACTTTGTCATCCTGAGGCACCAGCAGCACCGGCTGAGAGGGTGGAGGCGCTTACCTCAAGTTCCACCCTCTCAACATAAAATTTGAGGCGTCCTCGCGGCCACCCGCACCACCATGCCACGCCACTCCAGTCTTTCTCTCCCCTCTCTCTCTTGCTGTCGGCTCCTCTTCCTCCCTCCTCCTGTCACTCTCAATCGGCTCATCTCTTCCTGTCCCTAAGACACCTCACCTCCCGCTGTACACAGCGCCGAAGGGAGGTCGGGGCATTATGAGGGGGAGGGTGGCAGGGGTTGAAAGCGGCTCACAAGGGCATCTACAAACCCATTTGTAAGTCTAGGATTGCCTGTATTTTAAATCCCCCACGGGGGCTGTTGGAAGGTCGTAGGCTTGCCGGCAGTGGAGGAGAGGGCCATCATGCTCTACAGGAGCAGAATGGCGCTCAGAGATGGGTCCCCACTGCACTGGACTGTAAGTTGGCCCTGGCGCGAGACCGGTCGCCCATGCACATGTGGCTGACACTACCAAGGCTACTGCAGTAGCTGGATCTGGCCGAAGCAGCCAGCCACATCCTCAGCTGTTTGGTGGGGCTGTGCCGAAGCTGCAGCAGAAACGGGGAGAAGGGAACGATATCGCAACAAGTCCAGCCGCTACCCCATTCACCAATGCACATCCACAGTGCTGGATTACAGGTGTATGTAGCCACCACCACCCGTTATATGTCAGTATGTGCGTGCATGCGTGTATATGTTTGTACATATGTCTTTTTACATATGTATGCCTGCGTTTGCATGTACCTGTGTTTGTTTATATGCTTGTATAAATGTGTGTTTATATAATTAAGTGTGTGATATTGATCTTAGTTGAATTATGCTGGCAGGGCCACTAATAGAACATAATGATTGGCGTCACCCGGTATGTGGGGGATCGTTATCTTTGTATATACGTGGTGATTGCTACGTTATTCATGGGTGTTTTGTTGACCACAGGAACATGTGACCCGAATGTATAAAGGGGGAGCCATGGACAAGGGAGACCCTCAGAGAAAATTTGGAAGGACCTCGAAGCAGAATCGGAGGCCAAATGTGCAAAGTAAGTCTATGTGTGTGGGTCTACCATTCACGTGTGTTGTGATCAAAACAGGTTCAACTCATTATATTCTGCTCTTTATTTCACAATCAAGATTTGATCATTAAAATATCAGTAATTATCCTGCTCGAGTTTTTTAGAATGAGCATTGGCGCAATGTTTAGGGCCTTGTGTGATGAACCCAATGACCCAAGTTCGATTAATGTCTATGGCTAATTTCAGTAGCGAGCGATATCTGATCCGTACATCCCCACATAAGTCATAATGGGCTGGCGAATGATGGTGCCGAGGACCAGTTAAGATATCACCGTGCTCTGAAATCGCACTAAGTTTGCATAGTGTGGTGTGTTAACCACTCTGCCACTTCTCCCCATTCTAAAATACTTGAAAAATACACGGAAGTGTTCCACACAAATCAACAACTTACCCTCTCCTCTTCCGAACAATATACACTTTGTTTTACTCGGACCTATAGTTTAGGCACAGGATAAAACAAGCAGTTTTTATTATAAAGGTGCTCTATTTATGGAATAAGGCCTCTCTATTTATATCTGGCTTGAACAACAATTTATTTTGGAAACTGAGAGGCCTTAAACCACAATGGAGCACTTTTGTAACTTATAATTATTTGTATTTTATCCTGTGGCTAAACTATAGGTCCGAGCAAATAAACTCTCTTCCTAACCAAAAAAAACCAACGCCCTAATTTAAACCATGTAATAATTAAGTCCACCATTTTTTTTGTAATGTGAGATATAGCTGTGAAAACAACAATAACAAATGTTGTGGCTCCCCAGATGTCTGTCTCATCTCTGGTGTTGGCCTTTGCTCTGCTCTCCGTGACCACGGAGCTGGGCGAAGGAGCTGGCACCCAGGAGGATAGAACCATGTGTGTGGGGATGAGCGGGATCCCAGGGACCCCAGGGCAACATGGGGCCCCTGGGAGGGATGGCAGGGACGGGAGAGACGGTGAGGGGAATTGATTCACAACTCACAGCCCTCATTGTGGGTGGGCTGCTGCAGCCGTCTGGAACGCTCTTCCTTCAAATATTAGGAAGCCACTGGAGCTATGCATTTTTAAGTCATCTAGATTGAAAACTAATGTATTTAGAACTGCTTTTTGTGTTTAGTTTGTCTTCCTTCCCGCAGAGGACAGAATCAGAATAGTCATTTATCTTGGAGAAATCCGATGAGCTATGATGCTCTTTTTCACAGATTTCCAGTAGGAGTGGGTCAGAAAGTTGCAATAACGTCTCGATGGGTTGCTGATAAGTTCGTTGGTCTTTTCGCAGGTGTGATGGGAGCACCCGGAGCTAAGGGAGATCGCGGCACTTCAGGAGACAAAGGCATGAATGGGGAGCCAGGTCAGCAGGGGTTTACCCAGACACGGTGTGTTATGTCTTGATGGCAGCGGACTTTTCTGCCACGTGGCAATTCGTCCATATCATGTCAAATATTAATAAAAACTTCTTATTTGTTCATTAGCTTTGTCAAATCATGTTTTTTTTTGTTAAAAAAAATTGGCATTAAAAAACCCAGAATACAATGTGGATTTCAAAAAGGCAGAAAACAGAAAACGTAACAAGCTCGATGGAATACACCCTTCAAATCAGAGATTGAACGAGGGAGTCCGAGGTCGCTGCCCTATCACGGTAGGGGTAATCACATCACGTTTGTTGATAAATAACATCAGCTGGCCTGACATCAAACTCCGGCATCATACAGCAAATTTATATGACTGAGAAAAGGAGCTGCTCCAATCAGTATCTGAAGAAACGCCTAACATGCTGGACATAATGCCAAACACAGGTGGTCAATCTGAAACTACATTGGAGAGGTGACATGAAAATGTCGATTCAACTCGATGATGTGGCAATCAAGTGCTTAAATGTTTTGGATATCGACCTTTGATAGCAAACCAAACGAAGACGTTTAAACAAAACACACCTCAGTTATGCATGTTATTCGGAAGCCACTTGGGTTATGCACTTTAAATCTAGATTTTAAACTAATTTCTGTAGAACTACTTTTTGTGTTTTAGTTTGTTGTCCATTCCCCTGCACCTCCAATTAGCCCGATTGGCTAGGCACGGTGAAAAAAAAGTAAAACATACATACACGTCTGGCTCAGTGCCACCAACGGAGATTTGTGTCACCCATTTCTCACTTGACCTTGTTACCGTGTGTCTGTCTAGGTCTCCCGGGAAAGCTGGGCCCTATTGGCCAGTCAGGGCCCATGGGGCCTCCAGGATTTACAGGTGAGAAGGGCGAACGAGGCGGCAAAAGCGAGATTGGCGTGGGGCCCAGGTCAGCCTTCTCGGCAAAGATGGCGCTTTCCATACCGGCAACTGGGGTCCCCATAAAATTTGACGTCATCATCACCAATCCACAGGGGCACTACAACCCCATCACAGGGAAGTTTACTTGCGCATCCCCTGGTGCCTACTACTTCACCTTGTTTATGCACTCAAGTGCTAGTGGCCATCTCGTGGTTATGATAATGAAAAATGGGCAATTGATATCCAATGTATGTGCCCGCCCAGACGAGGAAATTAGCGGTAGCGTCGTGCTGAGCCTCGAGACGGGAGATCAGGTATGGCTCGAGATGAAAGCTCCGTACATCAATTTGTTCAATGACGCGAACAGGGACGCGCTGTTCAGCGGCTTTCTCCTGTTCCCCAACTGAATTGACTGCCATTGTCAAAGAAGACAGAGTGAACACGTGCACACACTCATAAACATATTCACGTGTGCATGAACGCATACAAGACAAAGAATAGGCGCCCCCTATTGTCTTTAACATACTTAAGTTGAAAATGATGTTGGGGTTCAGAAAATATGTGGACATGTTCCTGGGGATCAGATATTAGATTATCAAAGTGCTAGAAGTTTATTTTTTTATTAAAGAGTGGTGTCTGATCTTGGGACAGCAACCTGCAACTACCACCCATAACTTACTGTGCTGAATGGCTTTCCAAACCTCTGAGCAAAGCTTTGGTAAGCCTCCTCATTCTCGGGAATAGAATGTTGCAATCAGAGAGAATAGATCTACCACTATCTTTCAGCTAGCTGGAACGCCTCCTCCTTCAGGAATTGTGTGGAAGTCTGGATCGGCTATCCAATGCCACCAATGCAGCTGCACAAACCACAGTCTTGCAAAAAAGGGGAAGCTTCAATTTCCAGCTACAAGTGATGGTCAAATTCTCGCTTCTAACTTTCAACATATAAATGGGGTCATTTGAGGATGCTCGCTTCCACATTGGAAGAATGGCAGGCACATCTTGCAGATGAAAAGCTGATGTTAGTGGCCAGATCAGCTCAACAGTATATCCTCATCAGTTTAACACGTAGGCTTTCGCGACCAATATTATTCATAATAAAGGTTTTTGGGTTAGATCGCGTTTATTTATAAATGTGTCGTAACCCTCCTCCACCCGACACGGCCAATCAGCAAAAAAAGTGTCACGTTGACAAAAGACAAATAATTCACTACTTCAGCCCACCGGTGTGTTGAAGAGTTAATCCACATTTACAGTTTGAGTACGACGTTTCGCTGGTAAATACTTCCAGCATCATCGGGCAATTCGCCAGAATGGTAAAGCCCTCGCTTGCTCCCGGTTTTATATAGAGCAGCAGGGTAACGTCATCACTTAACTCATCAGGTGCAGTGATTAGAGGCGGAGGGGGGGGGGGGTAATGTAATTATATAATCGATTAGTAATCAGTCATTGGTTATGATTAGTAATGAGTTGTAGATTAGTAATTCTTTAAATCAAAATGTAATGTGTATTATTTAATAATACGCTTCCAGGCCGCACTAAGCCGGTAGCTGTCAGAGCGATTAAAGTTATTCTTGTTCCTCTCAATTTCAATGGATTCTCTAATTAGTCTTTGCCAGTAATAATTAGTTTTACACACCACTGCAACATTGTCAAAATCAATTGAGTGTCCTTGTTGACAAGCATGTTCTGCCACTGCCGACAGTTGTGTTTGAGATAATTTAATATTTCTCTGATGTTCTTTTAGTCTTACGCTGATGTTACGTCCTGTCTGCCCAATGTAGCAGCTGCCACATGAACAATTAATCCGATATACACCTTCTGTTGATAGTTTAGGTAATGCGTCTTTAGTGCAAGATACTAGTTTTTGAATTTTGTGTACTGTACCAAATCTTACTGTAATGTTTTGCTTTTGCAAAACGCGGGCTAATTTGTCAGTTACTCCTGAGATATATGGAATTTTTATTGTTTTAACAATCTGGTCGCTTTCAGTAGTATTGCTTTGCGATCGTGATTTGGCATTCAGTGCTCTGTTAATTTGAGCATTATTGTAGCCATTCTGTCGTAGTGCGTCTTTAACGTGTTTAATCTCTCTCACTAGACTCTCACCATCTGACACTGTTTTCGCCCGATGTACGAGCGTCTTGATAAGAGAGGATTTTTGAGCTGGATGATGATGATATTCTGCATTCAGATAGGCATCAGTGTGCGTTTGCTTTCTGTAAACGCTGTGTGTTATTTTACCGTTTAGGCCATGTCCAAGCAAAATATCTAGGAATGGGAGTGTGTTATTCACCTCCATTTCCATGGTGAACTGGATGGCCGGGTTTTGTGCATTCAGATGATTTAGAAAATCATTAAGTGTATCTTTACCATGTGGCCAGACAACCAAAGTGTCATCCACATACCTAAACCAAAAGGATGGTTTTAATGTGCTCGAGGCAAGTGCTCTTATTTCAAAGTTTTCCATGTACAAATTTGAAATAAGAGCACTTGCCTCGAGCACATTAAAACCATCCTTTTGGTTTAGGTATGTGGATGACACTTTGGTTGTCTGGCCACATGGTAAAGATACACTTAATGATTTTCTAAATCATCTGAATGCACAAAACCCGGCCATCCAGTTCACCATGGAAATGGAGGTGAATAACACACTCCCATTCCTAGATATTTTGCTTGGACATGGCCTAAACGGTAAAATAACACACAGCGTTTACAGAAAGCAAACGCACACTGATGCCTATCTGAATGCAGAATCACATCATCATCCAGCTCAAAAATCCTCTCTTATCAAGACGCTCGTACATCGGGCGAAAACAGTGTCAGATGGTGAGAGTCTAGTGAGAGAGATTAAACACGTTAAAGACGCACTACGACAGAATGGCTACAATAATGCTCAAATTAACAGAGCACTGAATGCCAAATCACGATCGCAAAGCAATACTACTGAAAGCGACCAGATTGTTAAAACAATAAAAATTCCATATATCTCAGGAGTAACTGACAAATTAGCCCGCGTTTTGCAAAAGCAAAACATTACAGTAAGATTTGGTACAGTACACAAAATTCAAAAACTAGTATCTTGCACTAAAGACGCATTACCTAAACTATCAACAGAAGGTGTATATCGGATTAATTGTTCATGTGGCAGCTGCTACATTGGGCAGACAGGACGTAACATCAGCGTAAGACTAAAAGAACATCAGAGAAATATTAAATTATCTCAAACACAACTGTCGGCAGTGGCAGAACATGCTTGTCAACAAGGACACTCAATTGATTTTGACAATGTTGCAGTGGTGTGTAAAACTAATTATTACTGGCAAAGACTAATTAGAGAATCCATTGAAATTGAGAGGAACAAGAATAACTTTAATCGCTCTGACAGCTACCGGCTTAGTGCGGCCTGGAAGCGTATTATTAAATAATACACATTACATTTTGATTTAAAGAATTACTAATCTACAACTCATTACTAATCATAACCAATGACTGATTACTAATCGATTATATAATTACATTACCCCCCCCCCCCCCTCCGCCTCTAATCACTGCACCTGATGAGTTAAGTGATGACGTCACCCTGCTGCTCTATATAAAACCGGGAGCAAGCGAGGGCTTTACCATTCTGGCGAATTGCCCGATGATGCTGGAAGTATTTACCAGCGAAACGTCGTACTCAAACTGTAAATGTGGATTAACTCTTCAACACACCGGTGGGCTGAAGTAGTGAATTATTTGTCTTTTGTCAACGTGACACTTTTTTTTGCTGATTGGCCGTGTCGGGTGGTGGAGGGTTACGACACATTTATAAATAAACGCGATCTAACCCAAAAACCTTTATTATGAGTATATCCTCATGTCAAGCACATAAGCTCACATTCACTGTTCCACATTGCATCGTGCAAAATATGTTTCCGTTTGAACTTGACACACCTGAAGTGTTATGTGATGACAGAAGAGCATGTTGGTTTTTACAAGCCCATGGGCTCCAGAAAAATCCTAGCAGCCTTCTACCATTATTATTGAGATGACTATTCATATGCTTTTCAATACTCCTACCAAAGTGTTTGGGTCATGAGCCACCTTCGGCATTAATAGAAGACATTGGCTGCGTCCCTCAACATATATTTACCTTTAGTGGGAGCATAAGCAACCACCACCATTCCTCACCACACACATACACTTATAAGACATACACACGTGCAGTTCACAAACGTGCAAAGAAAGACAAAGGTCTCCCATGTAGCTTTATCAGGCTTTTGGGACAAGTTCTGTTAGCGAGCACCTATGAAGGCCAGCACAGTAAAAAAGGTGGGTGGCCAGCACCACGGCCGACCGCCTTTGTCTCCCCATTGGCGATGTTTGCACACTGCACCAAGTACTCATTTGAGGCTCAGTTAATCGTTACTGGTGGTGGCCGTGAGTTTCTATCGAACTCGGGTTACAGGTTTGTAGTGCTGTCCGCTAACCGCTACACTACAGCTCCACACACATGCAAATACAACACAGACGACACTCACAGCGGATGCTTATTTTGGATTCTTTGCGATGTTAACCACGAGACGATAGATGTTATAAGTTCACGTGGCCCCTGCTACCACTAGAGGCCGCTACATTTAACACAAAAATATATTCGAGCATATTTGATTTTTACTTGTAAATGTTCTGTTTTAACCGTGTACCGCCCAATTGTATTTTGTTGCTTAAAGCCACATACACGTTAATTTGCGTTTCTGCTCTGCTTAATAATTAGACCCCGTGTGATATTAATTTGCTCTGTAAAGGCAAGGATCTGTGTTGTTTTGAAAGAGGCTTTAGGTTTCCATGGGCTCTAACCTCAGATAAATAAACCTGTATTCATTTATATTTATATCTCCAAGTGTGTCCGTATGTACGTGGCAACTGGTGGATTGTATTCATTGATGTGGTCGTGCTGTGGCAGTGGCAGAAGAGGTGCTAATAAATAATAAATAGTACAATGCACCAGGAATACTCTAGCCAAAATGATTATCCATCATCATTTAGAGTATTTGGTTGCTATAAATTGTGACGTGATATTCCACTTTATTGGCCTATCATTTGTGTCCAGGTCTCTTCTCAAAAACAGCTAGTTAGCTCAGTGGGCCTTACCTGATAAAATAGTTTCATATTCATTGCGACTATCGCTACCAGACAGTACCACTATCCTCACCACCAGCATTGTAAACTTATCACTCCAGCCAGTGTCTATCATAACCATCAAAGAACTTATATCATCACTACTATCACAGATCCTGTCCTCACCACCAGCATGTGCTAGCGAGTACTTCATCATCAGAGCCGTCCCCCAGGGGTGACCGCCCATGGCCCTGCGCTTTGGGGGGTACGCGCTTCAACGTCACGGTTCTCCGATGTAATACTTCCGGTTTAGTTTGAAGACGTCGAGGGGCCCCGTACCACACTATGGACGGCCCTATTCATTTTTTGTACTTAACATTTAATGGATACCTATTTTACATTTAGTTAACTCAACAATAACAACAACAAAAAACATTAACATAACCCGTCGGCTTTTGTAGCCAATATTAAACTTAGATTTATTTTGGTTAAGCCACGTAATGATCTGGCCGTGTATCCCTTCACCACCCAACATAACCTAACAAATTGAATTGTTACATGTACAAGTGTTTAGCGCGTGACATACTCTACAGTCCAAGCGTATCTCGCTTAACAAGCAAGGTGCACTTCACGAAAATTGCTCGTTAACCATCATCGTTTTCCCATTGACTTCCAAGTAAAACAAAAAAAAACTGAGTTACGTTTCAGCCCCAAAATGTTCCACTCTTGAACAAATTTTTAACATGACATATACCACATGATAACTTAAAAAGAAAGTAATAAAACACCAAATGTAACACTTACTACACATGAAGAACCAGTGCTTGCAAGTGCCTGTCCTCGGCGTCTGCAAACCCACCACCGCTCCCCCACCCAACCATTCGAGCCACAATGAGGCCCCCCTCCCACACACCACGAATCACGTGAGCACGCAGCACAATTGATCACTGTTAC